GAGGCTTGTCCGCAACTTTTTGGCGGTCACTGTAGCTTTACAAGCGCGCCACTAAACCAAATCGGACCCAGCTGCGATCGCGTTCCTGGGTCAACCAAGCTCTCAACCTTCGGTGCCGGTAAATTGATCGCGGAGTAGGTGAGGGAGGGGGATAAAACATTGACTTGGTAATTGGTTGGACCCACCCCGCAACTTATTTTGGGCTGCGCTTCATTAGACTCTGACTCTAAAGCGTTCGTCCATGCCCGTTTAAGGTATTGCAGATGCCAAATTCTGCGTCCTTTTAATCCTTTCAATGCGGTTTGTTATACGGTATTTTCAGTGTCTGCAAGGTGTGTATCGCGTTCTCAAGCCATCGGGAGTGTTTGCCATGCTGGAGGTAACAAGAATTTCTTTGCAAATCATATATGTATGCTCGGCCTTTCAAGATTTACGGCACATCCAATATCTACAAAGATAAAGAAGAACTGGGACAAATGGCAGCGATGAGATACGCTGGTTCAATGTTTGGCTGTCTGGCAATGGGCAGCAATTCTGAGGGTATTTGATGTTTCATTCAGTTGGACACTTGAACTTTTTTTTTCAATTGCAGATGCTCTTGCACTCGGTACGATGTGGGGCAAGGAGCGAGCAACGAAATTGCTGAAAGAAGCGGGATTCAATAATGTTACACTGGTTCCTACACCCTATTTTGAGGGACAGATTCTGTACGTGTGTGAAAAGCACTCAACATAAGCCTTGAACTTTGGAGTATACGAAGAATGCTGCCATCAACATTCCTTGACCATCTAGGAATTTTTGCTCATTTGCATATGTTTGTTTTTAGTTTGCTACGCTTTTAATAAAGAGGACAAAGTTGTTTGTTGACTTCTCTTATTTTTTGGAAGGAAGTAATTTGATTATCGACTTCGTTTAGCTAGGTTGTGGTCCGCATTACACAGTTATTGTCGCCATATCAAAACAAAACATGGGACTTGTAGGTGGAGGCTTGCACGAAATGGGAATGTGAAAAGGCTTCTAAAACTCTTGTAAAACTCTAAAAAGCTTGTCAAGATGAAACAAAGACTCTCCGTCCTCGCTTTTTCTACACAACTTGCGTCAAATGAAATGCCCAAAAATGGTGTTCTATAGAGATCATCATTGGAGTGCCATTCTGACCTCATGATCGTGAAAGGAAAATGTGCTCTCTAGATCGCTTCCCATTTGATAACTCGTAAATTAAAGTAGGCTTCGTATTAATTTGTATTGCATGTCGAGTTACCGAACTGCGGCAGCAAAAGCAGTAGTGCGATATAATTCTGAAAAAACCTGCGTCACCATCTCCAGCTTCTCGCTTCCATGTGCTATTTATAGCAACAAATTGTTAATACGAAGCTTGCTTCGAATATGTATCCTGCATTTTCTCCAAGTGTATGATTCATCCACTTTCGCGGAAAACGCGATATCGCAGCTGTTCATCAACGCTTATTTTTCTTCCAGAAAGCATTCATTTTATCGGCCATCAGTACGTCGATATCGCATGTCGTCATAATTTTCTACATAAGATTTCCCTCATTTTCTCATACGAAACGAATTTGTTAAGAAAAATTTCATGGTTTCTGGTGTGCAAACCCCACAACAATTTCCGGGAGCCCTATCTTGAAGACGCAGA